GCCTCCTTCATTGCATTCGCTCCCTGCGACTCCATGGCCTTTGGTGTGGCCACCCCCTCCTGCGCCTCCGTAGCTTTGTCACTGAAAGTGATTTTCCTCACCGTACCCTCCTTCCCCCCAGTTTTTTTGCCTTCATCGGACTAGTCACTTCCGTACCCTTCTCGACTTTAGCCCCTCCACCAGACCTGCTCCCCTCCTTCCTCCAAGAGAGACTATCGCTACCCGACCGAGCACCTGGGCGCCCAAAGCCATAAGCACGACTCCCGCCACTGCCACGAGAAGAACTCCGCCATGTCCCATCCGTCACCCCTCCTCTTATCATGCCCATGTCCGCCTTCATCCACCTACCAAACTGTGCCCTCTCCCCCTTCTTAAGCTTGATCGAGCAGTCCCGGTCAATATGTCCCAGCATACCGCAGATGTAGCAAAAATCTGGCAGGTATTCATATTCAAAACGGCACCATGGGTCCTTCTCCTCCTCATCCTTACTCTTCACTGGCCTCCTGTCCTTATCTACCTGGTTTTCTTCCTCCTCGCTTCCTTCATCTCCTTGGTCCGTATCAAGTCTAAAGCCCCTCATCAATGGCTTCCCGGTTTGGAGTCTTACTTTCACTCTGAGATATTTGCCAATCGCCCTTCCATCCGCTCCAGTGTCAGCCTCTACGAATGCACCCACCATGTTCCCGATCATCTCTCCCGTGTCTTCATCCATATCACCCAATGGCAACCCATAAACCCTAATCCAAATAGGTATTTCCTTGAACTCATAATCATCAATCCGCTTCCTCGGTACGAACTCCTCCATCACCACCAGATCGTTGTCAAACATCCACGGGCCGTCATCCAGGGCCTTCCTCCTCTCCCTCTCCTGGTTGAAGATGAACATGAATATGTTGTCGCTTAACTCTTTGCACTCCACGCCGCGGATGGGGCTCCAGACCCTCCCCAGCGAGTTGCCGATCGCATCTGGGTGCGCCGGCTTCTCTGACATGACCTTCCCGATCGCCCTGATCTCCGTCTCCTTCCCTTTTCCTTGCGAATCTCTCCTAATCTTTACCCCCTTCCTCTCCTCCTCCTACAGCCGCAGGTTCTCCAGCAGCCCCGCCATCTTCGCAGTTGTTCTGGACTCGTCTAGGGTTTTGTGGTGGTTTACGATCGCACGCCCAGATCGCGCGAAAGGCTGTATCGTGGGTTAGGTTGGGCTCGCCCTCCGTCCAGGAGGACAATGGACAGAGAACAGAGAGGTTAGGATCACCGTCACCGTCGTGGATCTCGACGAGAACGGCGGGCTGGCGCTCGACGAAGGACAGGGACGCCGGAAACCTAATCGCCTCCGAAATCGCCGCTTACCAAAACGCTAACCGTCACGCCAAATGTAGCCTAATTGGTTTGATGCCAAAAGTTGGCATGTCAAATTTTTGCAACTGCCAAATGTTGGCTAGAGATTGGTTGCATACCAATTTTCCCTACCAATCTCACAAAAGGTTGCCAAATATTGGCAACTTTTAATTTTTCCACATATTGGCAATGCCAAATGTGGGTAGCAAACAAATCAGCCTCTACAACGGCAGCGAACCGTACCTAGTGTGAGCAAAAAACCGCTATGATATTCACCCGCGCGACACAGAGATGGCATACCAACAAAAGAGTTTGGAATGGAGGCGCGCCTATTACTAAATGTGTCGGCGGAGCTCACCATTTTTCAGTCGCGCATGAGCTAGCAAAGTTTAGTTTTTGTAATAAATGTGATGGCCATTGGACTAACGAACCTCCTGAGTTTTTAGTTAACCATTTGGTGAACGATGTAACTATTGTTTAAGTTTAATAAAGCTAGCCATGATGTAACTATTGTTTGTGTCGGCGGAGCTCACCATTTTTCAGAATCGCTGGCCTCGAAAGTCGGTGATGTCTCTGGAAGGCGTGTACAATCCAGACGACGGCCGGATGCACCTGATCGGCTGCCGAGATGTCCGGCTCCCACCGCAGAATTCGTCGACGAGCAGAGACCTCGGACTCGAAGAAGGAATGGACTGCTCCATCGAGGTGAAAGTCGAGTATCCAACACCGACGATGCACTGGTTCTGGGTCAATATGTTGGCGGCGAAGGTTCAGATAGCAAGCCGAGGACGGCCATTGACCCGCTGTATTTCGGCGTGGTGAAGCTCAGGGCTCTGCCTGTCCCCTACCCGAAGCACCTGCCGGATGGGATTTACCATGGGGCCGTTAATGGCATCCTCTGCATTGTGCTGCTGACGGCCACCATCGCCCTTGATCATGACAGTGGACAACTAGAAGTAAGAAAACACATTGCATATATTCTGTGAAGCCTATGTGCAGATGCAGGTTAGGCCAATACCTTGTATTGTTCGTTTTTTGTTGTCGATGTGAACAAATACTCCATGGGAATGATATGGTGCCATGCAAGTCCGACGCGCAGCGGGCCTGAACTGCCCGCCAAGTCGAACTTCTCCCGCCAGCAGACGGTGCCGTGCGCAGACCTGAATTCCCCTCCGAATCGAACTCCCTGGGCGGACCTGAATTCCCCGCCAGATCCAACTTCTCCCTCAAGCAGACCTGACTATATATGCACAAGGCCCCCCACCCCATGCTGTACCGTACTCCCAATTCGCCGGCCACCAAATCTGCAACCATGGCGAAGCAGAAGCTGCGCCGTCTCGTGCGAGGACCACGCAGGGCCGCCGGCGAGGACCGCCTAAGCGCCCTTCCAGACGAGCTGATCGGCCTCATAGTGGGCAGGCTGGACACCCGCACCGCGCTCTCCACCGCCGTCCTCGCTAGGCGCTGGGCGCGTATTCCACGTGACCTGCCCGCTCTCGACTTCAGGGTCAGTGACATACTCCCGCTAGAGTACGATCAGGGTGTCGCTCTCCGCCAGGACCTGCCGCCTGACACGGCCATGGCCGGGATGCTCGATGGTTTCTTGGCGGGCTGCGAGATGGGCAGCACGAGGGCGTTGGCCGACGGAGTCACCAGCTTCTTGGCAGCCGATTGTGACGGCGACGCACGTCGGCGCGTCAAGACCCTCCGGCTCGAGTTCTTCCCCACGGATCATGGCGGCTGCATCGAGCGTCTGATCGCCGCGGCTGTCGGCTCATGGGGCGTGGAAGATCTGGAGATGGTCGTCAGACCAGCGTCCGGCCATCATGATGGGCCCGCCTACCCCTTCCCCGACGACTGCCTCGACGACGGCGGGAGGTCGCGCCTGCGCAGCCTGACGCTGGGCAACACCACGCTCCCGCCGCTGCACAGCTACGAGGCGCTCACGACGCTCGTCTTGCAAGGCGTGGCCGCGTCCACGCCCGTCGCCGTGTACGAGAGGCTGTTCAGCGACCTCACACGGCTTCAGGTGCTGCATCTCATATCATGCAGCTGCACGGCGGACCTCCATCATCTAGTGGTCGACGCACCGGGTTCAGCGATGAGGGAGCTCGTCGTGGAAGAATGCGCGTTCTCAAGAATCACGGTGCGCGCCCTCCCAATGCTCGCCCGCCTGGCGTGCATAGGCACAACCGTGGTGCTCAGGCTCGACTCCGTTCCGAACCTCACGCAGGTGAACCTCACATTCTGGGGGAGCAAGAAACCCTCGAACTTCCTCGGGAAGGCCCCAGCTGCGACGACGAGCCTCGTTCTCCGCTTCACCGGGCCAAGTAGATGGGTGGTGCCGATTCACCTGACCACGCCGTTCCTCGGCCTGAAGAGGCTCCTCGTCGCCGACCTACCTTCGAATTGGGACGTCTCGTGACCGCGCGTGCTCGTGCTTGCCGCACGGTCGCTCGAGGTCCTGCACATCCATGTGGCTCACTCCGACGAGAAGCAGGGAGAGGAGATAGCGTGGTGGCTCTGGCCGAAGCGGAAGCTGCGGCGTCGGAACATGAAGGAGGTGGTCATGATTGGATTCACGCAGACATCTCGCCAGATACAGTTCTTGAGGGATCTTGTGAAGATGTGCACATCTTTACAACGTGTTGTTCTGCTCAGGGATGGCCAAGTGCGGTACAATGGACTCTGGGATTGGAAGATGGTCGGCCAGCCAGAATGTCCATGGAGCACTCAAGATAAAATGGCTGTGACGAAAATGATCAAGCCTGCGTCCAGGCCTCTGGTCGATGTAATCTTGGGATGACCAATTTATTTATTTCTAATTATTTTTTGAAAGCCTGGGGTTCTGTTGACTTATGAGAAAGTCCGATATATGTACTCCAAGTTTTAACCTCAAATTCTCACCAATGTCTAAAAAACAACCTTGAACTTCAAATCCGTCCAATATGCAAATCTCAAAATCGTACAACTTACAACTCTGACTCCCCTTAAACCTGTTTTTGGTTATTGGTACGCGTCACTTCTCTCCGTTTGTTCTTCCCACCCCTGACTCACATATCTCCCAACCCCCGCCGCCACCGCCACCAGATGCCCCCGTCTCGGCTATCCAGCGGTGGCTGAGGAGCACAACATTGTCGTGGGCGGTGAGGATGGCGACGGATGTGTGGAGGTAGCTTGTCTCACGCGGCGCCATGAGGTGACCCTAGCAGACACGGTGGAGTTGTGGGAACTGCCCGACATCCGGCGGGCCACCTGTTGACGGTGGCCGAATTTATTCTCCCTTGCGAGCCACTTCAGGCGCACGTCCATCCACCTAAGACTAGCCACAATGGGAGTAACTTCAGCAGTAACATCGAGTCCAACTCAGCAAATTTGCTTATGTGGCAGTGAGTTAATAAGGAGAGAGATAGTTATAGTAACTTAGCTACTTACTGTAACATCACATGTCCCAATACAATATGAGTCTATAACCTAATAAATGAAGCTTTGCATGTTACCACACTTATGTTACTACCCACTATGAAGGTAGTAACATAGTCTAGGGATATGTGTATGTTACTAGTGTATGTTACTCACCATTGTGGCTAGTCTAAGGCCATGGCCTTAGGAGCACGGTTGACATCGCTCGATCTCCTCGGTGGTAACAACACGTGTGTGCGTGCCTCTGGGAGGAAGCGAACATCGATGAGTCGTTGAAGCCTTTCTCGCTGGCGAGCCACTCAAGGTGCGCATACTCGGTCGCCGCCAATTAGTGGCCACGGCTGGGCATAGCGCCAAATTTGGAGAAGAAGGGGTTGCGGGAGATCTTGCAATCGCTCGGGAGGTGATTAGTGTTGGGAAATGTAGTAGAAAACAAAAAAATCATCCTAATCAAACCAGGAACACTATGAAGATGCATTAATGGTTTAGATCGGATCATTACCAACTCCGAGTTGCAGCGGAATAAGAGTCGGTGTAGATCGAACTTGAAGTCCTTCAAACCGTTCATGAACAATCCTTCGAACTGAAGATCGAAATCACGACCTCTCCACAGTTTGCAAGCATACGATCTTCAGGATCCGGCAACGCTTCACCGTCCAGAGCTAATCGATGCCGGAGAATTAGAGGGCGAAGATTAGAACCACACTGTACATCTAATTATGAGGACTAGAGAGGATTAGATCTAGCTCTAATTGGATCAACTAGAACTAGAACTAGAGAACCATAGGAGGCTCCAAAACTTGTGTGTGTGAAGGGTCAAAATCTCTAGTATATATAGGTTGGAGAAGAGGGAGGGGGCACCACAAGGAGGGAAGGTGGACTACCCTCCCTTGCGTCGGCCAATGGGGAGGAGGAGTCCTCCCCCACTCCAATTCGGCCTCCTCTAACTTTTCGTACAAGCTAAGGGGCCGCCCTAAGTGTCATTGGGCCCTAGGGCCCAATAACTCTCCACCACTTGGCATTTTAAGTATTTTTCTTGGCCCAATGATATTTGAATAATTATAAAATCCTCCCGATCATTATTAGCGCCTTTTATTAACAATTTAACATCTTCGAAAATATTTTCCACCTATATATCAATTCCCGGTATTACCCGGTAAACCCCAAAACCCTTCCGGTAACCCCGCAACGCTTCCGGTTTCTCTCGATTATCAATGAAACTATTTCATAAATATTTTCTCATAACTCTTGCTGCACTAACACTCAACAGATCATGATTTCCTTAATATTGTGACCCTGTAGGTTTCGTAAAACATAGACATGATTTAGTCCCTTTCATTCAATGACAAATAGTGGAACCATGGGCATCCATATTGATCGCTATGAATACACGAATGACATTCAAGTGAATGTTTGGTTATCATGTGCTATTTCCTTTGCTTCGCAATACTTTACAAAAGACGAGTTGAGATATACCGGTATCATCTTGAGTCATTCTCATGCTCACTATACCGGTCTCCCCGTTACCAGTTTTGTTGGGTGTAAGCAATTATTTTGTTTGCGTGCATGTGCTGCTAAACTTGTTCGTGTGTTGCCTCCTGCTTGTTTGATAAACCTTGGTTCTCAACCGAGGAAAATATTTTCTATTGTCGTGCTACATCACCCTTCCTCTTCGGGGAATCCAACAACTCCTACGAGAGTGGTAGAGGGTCCTGAGCTGATAGTCTTGGCACGATGGTAACAGGACAAAGAAGGGACACAGTGTTTACCTAGGTTCAGGCCCTCTCGAAGAGGTAAAACCCTACATCATGCTTTGTTGTATTGATTATGGATGGGTACAGAGCACATGTTGATCTACCTCGAGTTCGTTTCTGTGAATGAATCTAGAATGTTTTGAATATGTTCTATCGAGTAGCCTGGCCTAGGTTTATATAACGTACCGGAGGCCTAGGATTTAGAAGAGTCCTCATCTTATGCGCCAAGTCTTGTGGAATCTTCCTTTATACGTCATGGGATGCCCGAAGTGGCTCAGTAATGAACCGCCACAGAGGTCCTCGGTCCGGCCCTCCTGGCGGGGAGACGACATAGTGAGTACCCCCTAGTCTAGGACACTATCAAGCACTCCATTTGATAAATGGCTTGGCATGAGTGATATTTCCCCTTCCCGCTGCTCTTTTCACCCGTGCCATCACCACCTCTCCTCCTTGTTGTAGCTCTGCCTTTGACTGCTTTTGGCCGTCCAAGTCCCGCTGGCAACGGCATGGACGGTGCCTCGATTCTTGTGTCCGATTCCATTGGTTTGAATAAGATCCGACTACTTCAATGGTTGATTGGCCTTCCACGCCTCCGACTGTCGTCCGCCACTACCTAGGACAACCCCTCATCCACCCTACAAACTAAGAGTTTGATGCATATGTGGCAAACCTATGCCCCCTCGTGCAGGAGGGGGCCTCCTAATTAGGACCACCACAGTTCTGAGCGACAGGACAAAAGAAGACGGGGAAGGGCCACACCGTTACCCCTCCTCTCTTCATATCGACGGTGAGCAAAACTGGGGCATCTTCCCAGCCGTAAACCGAACCAGAAACAATGATGACATAAAAATTCATCCTTTGCTTTGTATTCGGTTTTTGTTTGACTGAATGTGAGGTGACCAAGCAAGATTTAAACCAGCGAGACGCACCCCAAAACCCTACTCCTCTGAGCCCTTCTTCGACCATCCGAGCCGCCATCCAACCACTGTCAATCTCCTCCATGGCCCATTCCTTTGCCATGCGGTACTCACATTGGCGCATCGTTCCTAAATCACGAGGGAGGTCCACGACGCGGAGGTCCGGCACCATGCCCACATTCATGTGGAGCAACCCAGAGTTCTCTGGGGTGCTTGGAGGAGAAGATAGAGGAGGCGACCCCAAGGTCATGGAGGAGATCGTCATGGACGAGGCGCCGGTGGAGGAGCAGGAGCCCACGCCGCTAGACAAGACGCTGGTGTTCAGGTTCAGCATGTTGCAGGCGAGGCAACACTATGACCACGTGCCGATGGAGGCGGAGGAGGAGCAGGCGCCCGCACCGGTGGAGGAGCAACAGGTGTTCGCGTTCCGATTGCTTCATGAGGAGCAGTGGTACAACCTTGCGCTCCTCGAGGAGCACCGACTGGCGGAGGACCAGCAGTCAGCGGAGCAAGCATCCGGAGATGTCGTCGCAACCATGGTCATGGCAGACCCGGGCATCGTCGACGAGCAACGGGAGGTGCTCAATTCTTCTTCTTTTTTTGATTTTGTATTTTTCATCTACTTCCATTCTCTATTATCTAGATCATCACTTAAATAAAGCCTCATAACTCAACAGCATCATTTCAAATATGAAATTGCTTATCACACCTACCATGTGGTTGGAAGGTGCTCAATTTTTTATTTATTTTTGAGAGAAGGAGCTGCTCAATTCTGTGCACATCGCGTGTAACATCTGCTGCGAGCACTAACAACTCCGCATCCACGAGACACGGCACAACTGCCTCTTCGACGTATTGGAGATGGCGGCCGATGACGCGCCAGACCAGCATGACGACTATGGCAACCAGGCCAACGTCGGCAGCTCCGGCTCGTTCGTGCCGCCCCGCAATGAGGACGAGGTCGGACTCTCCGGCACGGTGTACGTTGAGTTCACCTCCACCGACGACTCCGACGGCAAGGCGAACTCCGATGGGCAGAAGTAGGACAAGGTTCGGTCCTTTCGCGGTTGGATGACGTGTCCGTGTTTTCTTTTTCAGTGACTGCGGTTGGATGGACTTCCCCCCGATCGCTATCCGGGACACATCTGGACGTGTCTGATAAAGTTCGTTTTGGTTATCCGTGTTCGTTTTGGCTGTTGATCGACCAGAGTTGGAAATCTGTCTCCGGGTCCGAATTTGCCGATGACACGAACCCAAGTCCAAAGTCTAAACACGACACGTTGTTCTGGTCAGCCGTGGCGGACCTTTTATAAGGCCGCAGCAGGATGCCCTCGGGGCCTCGTCATCAAAGAGAGAAACCACGCGGCAGCCAAACGCGAGATCCACATATACTCCCACAATACGCGAACGCGAAGCCATCGATCGGTGCTGATAGATGGCGCACGGGCAGGAGTCGTCGACGCAGGCCGCCGCAGCGCCAGCGCTGTGCGCGAACGGCTGCGGGTTCTACGGGAGCGCGGCGGCCAAGAACATGTGCTCCAAGTGCTACCTAGAGCACCTCAAGGCCACCGATACGGCCACCCCCGCCGTCGAGGGGAAGACGAAGATCAAGGCCGACGTGGCCAACCTCGTCTCCAACTTCAAGACGTCGCTGACCCTGCAGGACTCCGGCGCTGCCGCTGCCGCCGAAGCACCGGCGGCCGAAGCACCAGCGAAGAAGGCGGCGCCGACCAGGTGCATGGCGTGCAAGAAGAAGGTCGGGCTGCTGGGGTTCGCGTGCCGCTGCGGTGGCACCTTCTGCTCGCTGCACCGCTACGTGGACGGGCACGCGTGCGATTTCGACTACAAGAAGGTCGACCGGGAGAAGATCGCCCAGCAGAACCCTCTGATCGCGCCGTCCAAGATCGACAAGATTTGAAGGCAGAAGGGAGTTCAAAACATGTACTACAGAGTTTTTTCTAGGGTCATGTACATAGTTACTGTCTCTTGTCTTTAGATGTTTCACGTACGCACTAGCTTCTCAAGTTGAAGAGAGTGATGTTATCTTTCTTGCTCGTCGTCATGTATTCATACAGATCGGTGTAAATTCATACAGATTGATGTCATCTTTCTTGCTCGTCGTCATGTGTTCTTATATCCCCCCGCTGAGTCGATGTGAATTTGGTCTTCTCTTATTTTTCACATTGCCAATCTGGCAATTACTACATCACAAACCCCAGTTTGTACGACGATCGTCCAGGCGTACTCTGTCTCGCTCGCGCCACGCGCCCTCAAAATCTCCAACCTCGACCTGCCGTCCCAGCGGCGAAGTACGTCGGGCTGGGTACTTCCGGTACTGGCTGTGAGTCGTGACGTCGTTCGCGTCGTGCAGTTTAGACACCGACTTCAGCTTCTGGCACGCCGCGCGCTAGCAATGCGCACGTCGGAGGGCTGTGTGGAGGCTACGCGCAGGCTTCGTGGAGATCATTGCGCGCGCCCGGGAGGCAATCTCTGGCTCCTAATTTTTTTTCAACCGAGCACTGTAGAGCAAGGGAAAAGCTTGGGAACAGCCGATTGATCCGGCACCAGCGCGTGACGCATGTCCTATGCGTGGCTCGCGCACTGCACTATTCTAACTATATTTTTGTTGTAATTTTTTTGGCAAGATCATCTATGTTGTAAAAGTTCCTTTCGCAACAACACTTATGCTTCAAAAAAGGAGAGACGTAACTTTTTTTCTACAACAAGAACTTTGTTATGAAAATAATTATGCAACAAGACCTATGTTACAAAAAAAAAATCTATAGCATAGCCTTTGTTGCAAATGTTTTTGCAACATGACTTGTGTTGCAAAAGGAAACTTACAACATGGTGTTTGTTGCAAAAGTGAGGACAACGCTCAGCCACAAGGTTACGCCGATCTGACGGCTCCCAATCCGGCGGATCTTTTAAAAAGATCCGCCCGCCGATGCATAGCACATCTTGTAGAACAATTGTTCTGTGGTATTATTTTCTATTAATAACAGTTGAATATTTACAGTTACAAAAGAAGGAAAATAAAAAGGAAAAAGGTGTTAAAAATCCAATTCCAGCTCTTGCCATCATGGCTAAAAAGTAGGGGATCTAAATCGATTCTTGATCTTCATAGGTTGCAGTGATCCAAGAGGCAATATTTGCTGCATTCTTTTGCTTAATTATATGATGAAGCAACTGTTGATCATTCTTAAATCTGGCTTTTCAGGATGTAGTGCTTGGAGTAATGTTTATGATAATTTATCATTGCGTTGCATCCAGAGAGCAGGATGTCGATCGCAATTGGAGAAGGCAAGTGTTGACTAGCTAGAGTGAGCTTATCATAGACTGTAATCCCTCTCTGGTTGGATGGCAATATGGCATGACAGTTTGCCAGCCGTCAAGAGCGAAATTGCAACCCCATAAGAGATCCATAGGAGTTTTCAAATCTTGAGTTTGACAGATAGCACATGTGTTAGCAGGTATAACAAAGCCTTTATGTTGGAGCAGGCAGCCTGCTAGCTCCCTTCCTCAACCATTTGAAAAGGTAATGTGCTTGTTGGCCATGTGTCAAATGCTTGTACATGTGCATGGATGAATAGTTACTTTTATTCCAAGTGTAAGTCCACACATCTTTAGTATCAGTGAGATAAAAAAGATCCAATTGTGTCTTGTAATTGCAAGAACTGTTGATGAGCTTGGATAGAGAGAGACCTATGAAAGTGTGACGAATAATCATCAAAGAGCATAAATTAGCTCATAGTGATGTCCTCTGAAACAAAATAGTAGAGCTCAAGGCAGTTATTTTCCACAGGAAGGCCATTCGAGGAATCCTTCTAGAATAGAGTTGAATTTCCTTTTCGCACTTTACTGACAAGAATCTGTGTTAAAATCTGGGGGAAGTTTTAAAATGGATTTTCGCTAGAAAGATTCTTTTAGTTTCCCAAAAGGAGGGTTTGCTCAGTAATAGGATTCCCAAATGAGTTTCACCCAAGGAAGACCAAGTTTATTCCACATCCAGAATTCGAAGTCATCCTTGGTTTTGGGGCTAACAAACCTTGTTCCAGGCAATGAGTGCAGATCCCTTCTCTTCTAAACCATACTTTCTCGAGAAGCAGTGTTTAATATACTTGTAAATTTGGTATACCACGACAACTGGGAAAGCAATAAAACACATGGAAAGAGTTGGCAAAGATGTGAAGACTGACTTAATGAGGACCCAAATTTCATCATAAGAGAGGAAGGTAGAATAGCCAGACAGTCTTGTTTCAATTCTAGCATAATTAGGTTGAAATCTTCAATTTTTAGTCTACTTGTGGCTAGAGGCAACCCAAGGTAGGTGAAAGGAAAGCTTCCAATTTGACATCCCAAACTAGCAGCTAGAATCTCCATTTTCTCTTGATTGACATTAATTGGCACCATAATCATCTTATCATAGTTTATATACAGTCTAGTGAACTCAGCAAAGTGCTGAAGGAGGTTTTTGATGTGCATAAGCTAGGCAGAGCTTGCATGCATGATAAGAATTGCGTCATCAACATAATGAATGACAGGGAAGTCAGGGCAGGAGTACTTTGGTAATGGGGCGGAGATGAGATTTTTGTGTACGACTTCATTGAAAACTATTTGGAGTAGATCAACAGTAAGCACAAAAATCAAGGGTGAATGTAGATCACCTTGCC